TTCTGATCTTGTGGGTTTATACCATGGTCGCACTGTACAATCTTCAGTGTGGTCTGCAGGGTGTACAAGACACATCTCGTTGTCGCCATTTCACTAGTCGCTTTTAACGACGATATAGCCTTTTATTAGGTGTTTTAAAGTTCCATGTATAGTTCGTTTGTAGTGTACCACATTCATTTCGTGCTTATCGTTCTCGAGTTGAGGACCACTTCGTGTTCATACTTTCCGACTTCTTACTTTCTTCAAATTCTATTGTCAGCGCCGCCATGTTTCGAGGCCTGTGACGACATGTCAAATTGTTTAACACGTCTTTGTCGTTTCTCACGAGTCATATCATGGTATGCCCCTGCCAATGTTTGTGAAGTCATGCTGTGTGTTAGGTTCACCAGAAATTACTCCATAATTACCACCTTCAAGTTCATTCTTGCATGCCTATGTGGTGGCGGGTGTGGGGTGTGAATAAAACACAACCAAAACAACAAATAGGAACTACAGAATCGCTGAGCCCTAAACCCTAAACCCTAAACCCTAAGACCTACCTCCTTACTTGTAAGCCCTCAACAACGACCGCAAATTCCAAACCCTAAACCCTAGCCCTGAATCCTGATTCAGAACCCTAACCCTGAACCCTAAGCCCCAAAGTCTCAACACTGAACCCTAAACCCTAAACCCTGAACCGTGATCTCTAAAGCACCTGGACCCTAGACCCTCAACACCGAAACCCTGAACCCTAAACCCGAAAGTCTCAACACTGAACCCTAAACCCTAAGCCCTGAACCGTGACCTCTAAACCACAGGTCCAAGTGTTAGTATGCCAAGGGTCCACATCAGCAGACCGTCGGAGAGAGAGAAGGTACACGAGAGAGAGAGAGAGAGAGAGAGAGAGAGAGAGAGAGAGAGAGAGAGAGAGAGTACAACACACGTTCATGTCCACCCCAGAGAGACAGAGACACGACAGATGGACGGGCAGACGAACGGACCCACGGGCGGACTGAGCAGACCAAGTGAGCAAACAACCGACCGACAGGCAGACATACAGACAAACATCGGCAGACAGAGAGTTGTCGAAATAGGCACACACAGACAGAGAATAGCCATGCGGAGACATGAAGACAGAAAGACACACAGACAAAGGCAAGGACACACATAGATAGAGTAGGACAGATGCACACAGACAGATGGAAATATAGATGCCAGACAGACAGACAGACAGACAGACAGACAAACAGACGGACGGACGGACGGACGGACGGACGCCGTCGGACGGACGGACGGACGCCGTCGGACGGACGGACGGACGGACGGACGGACGGACGGACGGACGGACGGACGGACGGACGGACGGACGGACAGACAGACAGACAGGTGGACAGGAACAAGGAGAATTGTGACATAGAGTAGAATTTCATGATTCGGTATATTCGTCGTGCTTTTCTAGCCAAGGCTACCAGACGAATTTCCCTTTCCTCGTTTGATTGACAGACTCAGCATCCCTCTTTTTCCCTTTTATTTCCCCCCCTTCCTTCCCTGGACTTGACGCCTTCCTTGCAAGCACACCCCCCTCGATTAACCAAAAAATAATAATAATAAAGAAGGCGACG